TGGCGATAGAACAACGAAGTTACACTGGACGGAAGAGCAAAAGCCAAAAGGGGATCAACCCCGTCCAAGTTGAGCAGAGGGTGGAAATGCGAACTCTCTGCTTCGAGCCTGAGGAAAGGACGAGCCCGTGGAAATGCGAACTCTCTGCGCCCGGGAAGTGTCCTTCAAAACGACGAAGGACTACAAGAGAAGACGTTCCAAACGGGGACGAAGGACTGCGACGAGAACGAAAAATGAACCAGACCTTCCAAACAACGTCGACTATGAAGGACTGCGACGAGAACGAAAAAATCCTTTCGAACGGCGACGACGACAAAGAACTGCGGGGTATACGCAACGAGACAAACCCAAGGAAGGGTCTTCGAGCTTGACATTGCGTTAAGATGTCGTAACAGACGCTAGGGTTCGACATAAGGCGAAAACCTAACAGAGCCGAGCACAGGAGAAGACGTCATTATATATATATATATTAAAAACTCAAGGGCTAATATATTAAAGAGAAAAGATGCAAATAGGTTGTATGAGTATGCCCAAAAAATAGACACCCAACCCACACGGTACAATACACACAAAAAAGTCAAAAAGGGTACATATAAAAATAAAAAAAAAACCCAAAACCACCAGGGCACAAAAAAAGTGAAGGTCATTCCAATTTAGTCATGCTCTTGTCTTTAGTTCTCTGAAGGGATCCAACTAACAAATTGGTAAGGTGCATATCATTACCCGAAATAACCAAAATATCATTCATAAGATTTCTGAGCTCAGGTAGATTTTCATTCTTCTTCTTCCTCCTAGAAGTGTAAACCTGCCATTCCTCTTCCGAAGAATCAGTTTGATGAGTTGGTAGAGCTGTAATAGAAGGAATACCAATCTTAGTACCCACAATAAGTTCTAGTATATGTGAAGTATGAGATGCCTCTACACCGGATACATCTTGAAGATGGGGAGCTGCGAGGTTCTCCTGATTATCAGTCTGAACACTATCCCTTGTAAGTAATAGTCCTTTAGTATTGTTTTCTATGGGGTTTAAAGGTGTCAACATCACATCAATCTTAGTAATCGCAGTAACAATAACAATAGTGTCAGGGGGGTCCACAGGGGCAACATACACGTCCTGTCTGGTAGTATCCTCCCTAGGTGGAACTAAAATGTCCAGAGCAGTGGGGTTAGCCCCATCCTTATTCACTTGAACCTTAGATTTCAAATTGGATGAAGCCTATGACATTCGTCAAGGGTATGCCCAAACATCTTACAGTGGGTACAATAAAAAGTATGGAGGTCTGTCTTCCATGACGATTTGTTGCCAATATCTATTATGAGTTGTGCCCAACCAAACTTCAGTAACATTAAGTATAGTAATATCCTTTTCTACAAATATTCTGGCCACAGAAAGTCTAGTTAGATTGAAAGTGGGTAGATCTAGCTTCATAGGGTCCCCAAGGATGACCCTAATAGAGTAGAGAACCTAATGATGTAAAAAGTGCGGCTTGAGACTATGTAGACTAAACCATACCGGTATAACGGGAGATTCATGATTTAGGTCAAAATCAGGAGCACTTAAGTAACTTTATTGATTTGTTTGCGATATTAAGATGTAGTCTTCAGTCACGATTAGTTGAATCAACACATGTCTCCCATCCATGAGTCTCACTTTTCACTTCCCTGCTAGTTTAAGATTATCAACACTATTTCTGATAATTTCCATAGGTGGGTGCCCCCACTGAAATTTTCTAATAAGAGCAAACTTGAATTTCTTCGTCAGGGTTGAAATTTTTAAGTTAAAGAAAAAGATTGCTGCTTTCCCATCTTTTCTACTTTCTTTCTTAACAAAGAGCAATCACTTGTACCATCGCTACTATCCTTATAGCTTGAGGGGAAGACAACCACAGACTCAAACCACGTGGGCAAAGGAGGCTTTGTTCGGCTTAACCAAAGAAGAAGGGAGCGCCATCAGAGCAGGGAGATCTGTCGGCGTTCACCTGTTGGGAGGTCCCCGACACGCAAACGAAACGAAGCTGGAGAATCTGTCGGGCAGGGCGCAGCGTTGAAACAGATTTGCGACAGACGTCGATGCCTCCTATTGCAGGAGAAGCCGCAGACGCAAACCACACATTTGATGTAGATGCAGATGTGAATGTGTGAAGCAGATGACGCACGTTCGTGAGACGCGGAAAGATGCGAGCCTCAGTCGACGTCGAAGCAGATGATGCAAGCCGACGACGACGGAGAAGACAGATAGGAGAAGATGACGCCTGAGAAGGCGCAAAATGCCGTAACAGTTGCTAGGGTTTGCCATAATTCAAAACCCTAGCAGAGCCGATACCAGGAGAAGTCTCGCCAAGCCATGGATATGATCAATTATTCTAGTGTTTGAAACCATGTGCAATGTGTCATCATTGCTAAGATACCACACACACACACACAGAGATAGATAGATATATATATATATATCTATCTATCTCTGTGTGTGTGTGTGTGGTATCTTAGCAATGATCACATGGTTTCAAACACTAGAATAATTGATCATATCCATGGCTTGGCGAGAAGATGCATGGAGAACTAGTTGAGAAGGCTAGGATGCTCCGGAGAATAAATAATCAATGGGGTTAAGTGGAGCTTAGAAATTTATTGAGAAGACCACCATATTAAAAACTGGTGAAACTCCTTTGCCTAGAGCTAACAAGCTTTCTAATGAGAAGAATGAATGAAATTCACAGACTCTTGAGAAGAAATGCAATTGAAAAGACTCCACTTTAGGTAGCTTTAAAAATAATCTCTATTGTTATCATTTAATCTTGGAGGATGATAGTGCGATGTATTAGAGTAGATATTTGTAGCTCACCCTCAGATGAATGGACAAACAAAAGTTATAAATGATGATTTGAAAAATCTCCTCGAGTGTTTTGTAAGCAAGAATATTGATATTTGATTCTTTTTTAAGTTGAGTCTATTTACAATCGGTCCACTTGCCAGTTGACAGGCCACAACCTATTTAAGATTATTTACCAGAGAAACTTTCTAATGCCATAGGAGTTAGTAACGATATTTTCCAACTTTTGAACTTGGTATTTGACTTAGAAACCAAAGTTAGGGAAATCCAGACCTTATATGAGCAAGTGAGAAAGAAAATTACCAAGCAAATCACCAGGTACTAAACAAGTTCGAAAAATCTTAGAATTTTAAAAAAGGAAACTTGGAATGGATTTGGATGAAGAAAGAGAGGTTTCCTACAGGTTTTTTTGGAAAGCTCAAGCCTAGAGTTGATGATTCTTTTAAGCTTGTAAAAAATGTGAATGTAATGCTTATAATATTGATTTGTCGAAAGATTATAACATTATTGCTCTTTTAAATTCTTTGACTTGTTGCTTTTCTATGAGGATTATACAAAAGTTGTCAATGAAGAAGATAAAACCTCTCCTAGCCGAGGAGAGTGATGCGGGAATGGGTCCTGTTTCACGTTTCTGCGACCCCTATTTACGTTGGATTGCAAATTGGGACAACATCTTGTTTTGTTCATAATAAAAGCTGGTAATTCCCGCCTATTTGCTGCCACCGGTCCTTGTGTGCCCTAATTTTCTTTTTTTATAAATTAGAATTACGTTTGTTTTTGCTTGAGACTATTTGTATGTTATTTCCTAATTTTGGGAGTTTTGGCTTTTGGCTTATGCAATAGAGGATGTTTCCTCTAGTTTCCTCTTATCAGTGTTGTATTCTTGATCTTTCTCAGGCGGTGTGCCTTTATCTTGATTGAATAGTGGTGATCTATCTCACCCATACCTTCACATCCGCTGCCTACTTGTTTTCGTCATCGAACTTGCTGTCCAGCCGCTGGTCACACCCATTTTCAGCTGTGACTGCTATTTATGCCTCCATTGCTCATCCTACTAATATCCCATTGCTTGATTCTTCCACACTATCCGTTCCTCATCCTACTAATATCCCATTGCTTGATTTTTCCACACAATCTTGGAACCCTAGATCAGTGTCATATAGGCTTGCAAGTTCTTACACAGTGATGAAGTGTGTGGAAAGGCTAAGCAAAAAAGCCCAATGCCCTAATGTCATGAAAAGAATTAGAAAGAACTGTTTCACTTCTTATGTCATCATTTGCAGAAAGGTTATATAATCCTAGTAGTATTTTTATCAGAAGACATAAATTTGGTGCTAAAAAAAGCGATATACATTTAGTTAAGTTATTAGGGATAGCCAGCTGGGCCCTCCGATTGGTGAGAGAGTAACTGGATAAGTGTAATTTCAGGCGGTAAGGAGGCACTGGGGCGGACAATAGGTTGAAAAGAAGCCCGCATGTGTTGCAGTAATTCTGGCTCCAGATGTGCACCTTCCAGGGCTTCAATCTTCATCACACTTGCATGGAGGCTATTCAGTTTTTAGATTAGAGATGAGACTATTCTAAACTAACGGACAGCATTAGCAATCGATTAAGATTTTTATTACATAAACACAGAATAAATTTATATATTTGTGTTTTTCTTTGCTTAATTTATGTAGACGAGATTATTCTACACTAAAGGTCAGCATTAGCAATCGATTAAGATTTTTATTACATAAACACAAAATAAATTTATAAATTTGTGTTATTCTTGGCTTAATTTTTGTTTTGGGGAGCCATGTAAATTTCCAATTTAAAAATTTTTAGTTTCAGAATGCATAAATTATGTTTGTATTTTTTATAGAGAAAGTCGTCTTAGATGGTTTGTTCTCATTAAATGTCGACCATCTGATGACCTTGTTAGGAGAGTAGAGGCTTGTTATGCTAAAGAAAAGCAGAGGTAGATTTAAAAAAACTTGTGCATATTGTATAAAAATGATCATAATCTCTGAGAATTAAATGAAAATATGAAACTCAATAGAATGCTGGCGCCACTTAGTGGGATAATGGCTTGTTGCTGTTGTATTTTTGATATCCCTGTATGCTTTTCTGATATTTAAGTTTTTGAAGTACCTATTTATCAACTTTAATTTGATTGTTATAAAACCAGGTTACGACACAGGGGCCCTGATTGGAGTGGCATACATTGCCACCAAGACTGCTATCTGGCTCACCAAAGATTGGCTATTGTAGATCCTACTTCGGGTGATCAGCCCCTTTACAATGAGGACAAGTCGATTATTGTCACGGTTTGTGATTCTGATGCAATTGGACTTAATTTTAATGAAACAAAATCTGTGACTAATGATAAATTCATGTTTTTTTTTTTAATGCTGAATGCAATTTTCCATGTCATACTATGCCTCTACTCAAATTAATTTGCTTTCCCATTATACTTTGAAATTTTATTTATGGATTCGGCTTGTGAATTCCCATGCCATAATATTTTAAATCTTTTATCCATTCTAATTATACATTGCATGTTCTTACTCTACTGCTCGTAGAGAAGCCTGGTAGAAAAAACTCACTTTATTATCATACAAGATGGGGTAAGCATTCATTTTGCTTCCTATAATATCAAAGGATATCATACTTTTCTCGGAACAATAATTAATGCTAATAATTACAATAATTTTAAACGTTTTTTAAAGTTTTTATCAGCTTTTATTCCCATGTTTTAGTGCAGCCTGCGAACTTTCATCACCAATTATTTCTTTGTTAAAACTACTGCAGTCCGCCTGCTGCTCCAGCCAGGTCTACTTGTCAGCAAGTGGACTGTAGCAATTTTGACAAAGAAAAAATTTTTAATGCAAGTGTACTCCTGTCATATTGTCATGGCTGGCCTAAAAGAATATGAAGCATTCATAGGCACGATATCACACCAAACATGATTGTGTAGCTTGTCCCCCTTAAAAAAATCCACGAGACATCTCTTATCAACTGTAATCTTATTTTCTTTCTTCAACCATGACAAAGAATATGATTGAGAATGCTTCTGGGTAGTGAGACTCAATTTGTCCGTCAATTATGTAGATGCTACATTTTCAAAACTGTCTCTATCTATAATTAGATTGCACATCTTTCCCTTTACGATACAACAATATGTTGCAGCGGAACTACCGTTGCTCTCTCATGGGATCAGTATGAAGGACCCATCGAATTACTGACATCTTTTCTTTATCTGTGGGCAACTGATATTCCTTTTCTAGTAACAATTTTTAATAAAAAAAGTTAGTGTATTAAAAAATTGACACGTCATGTACGGGGAGTTAAACAGAAGGATCTCGTTTCCCTCATCCTTTCAAGCCCGAGCGTAAGAAAAAGCCAGAGGAAGCGAGAGAAAGAGAGCGTGAGAGACAGAGGAAGAAGCAGTGGCAGAAAGAGAAGAAGAAGCAGTGGCAGAAAGAGAAGAAGTAGTGATTGAAGGAGAAGAAGCAACAACGACAAAAGGTGAAGATGAAGTTGCGGTAAAAGAAGAAGAGGAAGGAAGAGGAATATTTGCCTGTGAGGAACGAAGCCGAGGGAGGAGATGTCGAAGACGTCTTGTATGAAGGAAGACGAAATTGCGTTCTGTTGCTTATGAGAAAGAATTGGGGTGGTGTCGTCTCTGCGGGAGGAGCGGATGAAGTAAAAAATAAAGGCTTACATGCATCATTGTCTGCGTGTGGGAGAAGTTGGGTATGAGAGGGAAGCTTGTTCCCTGACCGAGGAAGAGGAGACCGCATGTTGGTTTTCTGCGGTAGGGTTGATCTAAGCCATAACGTGGGAGAAGGGGAAGTCAAATTCGAGCATCCTCTGTGTGCTAAGGAAGAGGAGGCTTGCGTATGTGGGAGGCTTCGATAAATCATGTGATAGTGCAAGGGCCGAAGCCAAGCCAACGATCCTTCCTGCCTGTTGTGCGCAACCAACGTGGAGCTGAATGAATTAGTAAATGTGAGGGTTTTAACATATTAATTATGAATTTAATATATTTATATTTATATATGTTTAATTATTAAAATATTAATAGTAGGTTTAATTAAGTCATAGTTTTGAAAAAATGATCGGGAAAGGTGATTGAGGAAGGATCAACCAAATAAATTTAATTGTAGTAAGTTCTACTTGTGTTTTTTAATTTTGAAGATATGTTAATACTTAAAATAATGTGTAATTAAGAAATACTTTATGATTTTGAGAATAATTGTAAAATTAAGATGATTAAGAGAGATTATAAAATTAACATATTGTTCTGTTTTGTTTTTATAAATACCAAACTGAAGAGAAAATTAAAGATTAAGTGTCTTCAGGAATCATCAAATAAGATCGAGGTGAGTAATTATGTTTTTGAATCACAATTGTATTTATTATTTCAAGATATATTTTTATTTCAGTTTTTCAGAACTTTATATTATATATCATTGAGGCTTGGATTAGAATTGACTATTCATATTATTCTGTATAAAACATGCACATTAGCGATTACGTATAAACAATTACATTATAGTTTTTTTAAGAAGAATTTATACGACTACATGATATGTGGATTTCAGTATAGGTACATATATTAGTTTATTGCATGATCTATAAATTTAATAAGATTGCATTTTATATATCAGTGGATAGACGTAAAGTGTTTCATAAGAAAAGAATGTATAATATGAAAAATGAAGTAGTGTATGCATGATTGCTTGTATGTGTATGAAAGAGGAGTTCACCCCCTTATGGTACAAACAGAAGATGTCAGTGTATATGCGTGCATAAACTATGTTCTACTATCCCAGACAATTGTGATGTTTATATCGCTAACTGTTATGTCGACGGGAGAATATCGGACAGGGGCGAGCATGTATCTTTCCACCCCAAACAATCGTGTAAATTAGATCACGAACCACTGTGCTGATGGGATAATATTGGTTAGGGGTGTGTTAAGTTATGTTTTGACGGTGCATCTAAGACAAATATGATTGTTAATAGGATGAAATAAAAGTAAAGTTAAAGATTAAACCATGAAAAGTACAGTTAAAGTAGATGCATATCAAAGTTTGTTATTTCTAGTGAATAAAGATCACGAACACTTAGATTAGATTATTATAGATCTTTTATAGTAAAATATGAGAGGCTGGCACACATATTACTTTATTTTCTACATTAGATTATTATAAGATCTTTTATAGTAAAATATGAGAGGCTAGCATGCGTTTTGCTTTATTTTTATTGAGTTACTATAGTTTAAAAGGGTGATTTCTTCGTTGGGTTATCTGCACATAACATGTTATGTTATTTTAATAATTTTTAAGGTTTACAATTTTAAAACAGATGAATATTAGATGAGCTAATATGTAGAAGATGCGAGAACAACAACGGGTAAAATTTTTACTTGTTAATTGATTTTTTTTCTTTAGTTGCTATTTCATGAATATTTGAATATTAAATTGTTAGGGATAAAATTTGAATAATATAAAGCTAAATTCTACCGTTCAACCGTCTATTTTCACTTTGTTAATTCCAAGTCCCGGGCTGGGTCGTGACACCTCTCTACTCTCCTTCTCTAGGTCTTCTCCATCTGCCTCTTCCATTGCACCCGATTTCGTGAAAAATATCACCCCTATGCTTGGACAATCAGATGCAACGTGCCCAAAGTCATGACATTTGAAGCACTTTCTTATTGGGATGACTTTAGGAGTACTGACAGGCTCCATCTTTTCTCCACTATGTACGGGGTTCTCCTCTGGCGGGGTTGGCTTGGGTGCTCTACTGAGTGCACTGTTACTACCTGATACTCTGATTGAACTCCATCTGTATTGTGTGACGGTCTGGTTTTCTTACCTTCAATGTTGGGGTTTATACTTCAAGTTATGACCAATAAGACTGTGGATGGACCACCTTATTGATAAATTATTTCAAATTTTCAAGATATCTTGCCACTGTGTGCTTCTTTGGTTTTACCAACTCACATTTCAGCATGACTTGATCAAAGTCAGTTGTGCACTCCACAAAAGTCTCTCTGCTGCAGGTTGTGGAGTTTTATGACATTATCTCCTAGTTATGTATAATGTTTTGTTGGTAAGGTTCGGGGAGATATTTACACATTATCTTCATTTCATCTTGGATTAGGTAGTGATCTTATTTATACATGTTATACGTTTTTCTCCTAGTTATGTATAATAGCCTGAAGTGGTCCTTCTATGAACAGGTTATCTTGCATAATTATCATCAATGTGACCTTCCAGCTATAAATTTTCATATTTTTTGTAAAGAACTCCTTTCCTAGTATTTGATTTTAAGTTATGAGAACTCTACAAGCATTCTTGAGTGAGATTTCTTCATTTTATGCATAAATAAACATTAAATAATTATAACAAATGTTTTATTGGGCAAGTGTGAGAAAGATAAATTATGTTGACATCAGCTCTTTCTTCATTAGTATATAGTTTCTAGCCCAGTTTCGTAGGAGTTTCATCTGGCTTATAGTCTGTCAAGATTTTGATTGTTTATATACAACCTAGTAATACATCAATTACTTCAATTTAAATCAATTTGTAATTTAACAACATAAATCCAATTCAAATAGTCTTAAAATAAAAATTTTACATCATAATCATTTTTTATACAAGTCTTTAAGCTGAGAAAAACTTGATACTAACTTGAATTTTTTGTGAAAATAGGAAAAAATGTAAAATTTTCCCTAAAACCCAAGCATTCCTCTGCCCTTCTTCCCTGCTGCTCTCTGTTTCTCGGTTCTGAAGGAGTTTTGGGAAGAATGATGGAATGGAATTGCAAATGCTTAGTGCTTTTGGTCTTTATATATATATTTAAAAAAAAACCCAAGGGCTAATAAATTAAAGAGAAAATGATACAGATACATTGTATGAGTGGGCTCAAAAGTAGACACCAAACCCACACGGTACAACACATGCAAAAAAATCCAAAAAAAGAGAAGCTAAATATAAGATCAAAAAAGCCAAAACCACCAAGGCGCGAAAAAGCTAGGGACGACCCAATTTAGTTCTGCCTTTGACTTTAGTTCTCGGAAGGGAGTCAATTAACAAATTGACGAGGTGCGTACCATTATCCGAAGTAACCAAAGTATCATCCATTAGATTTCTGAGCTCAAGTAGATCTTCATTCTTCAAAGTGTAAACCTGTAACCTGTCATTCCTCATCCGAAGATTGACCTTGCTCATTCGGATGAGATGGTAGAGTTGTGGTAGAAGGATTGCCAACCGTTGTACCCACAATAGTTTCTAGTGTATGTGAAGTAAGTGTGGTT